TATATATACAGTATATATATATATATATATATATATATATAACAAACAAACAAAAAATATATATAATTTTATTTACAATAATTTTTAGAATTATTTTATTAATATTAAATTACTTTTAATTGACTCACATTTTCAAATTAATTACATGATATAGAGGTGAATTATTCACAATTAATTGCATTTATCAATATTTACTTAGCAAAGATAATTCAGAGACATTGACAATAGGCAAAAAGAAGCTTTAAAAGCCAATATATTGTTTGTTTTATTTCCATATGACTGAATATAAGCCCATCACTAATGTCCAAAACAAATTAAAAATGTATAAAAAAATTTATATATAATTAATAGTGTTAAATTGATGTGCTACATTTCCAGCTCTAGCCAAAACCACAACATTCCTCTTGACAGAACTGCATCTGTGAAAGACGCTTTACTGAATCACAAGAGACTCAAGATCTAAGGGGCCATTTACACGACAACGTTTTCAGCCAAAAACAGGAATCTTTTTATGCGTTTTGCCTGTTCGTTTACATGACAACGGCATTTTGGGGACTGAAAACGCATATTTTTGAAAACGGGTTTCAAAGTGCACGTTTACTTGCGGGGTGTTCACAGGATGCATTCTTGTGTTAAAGAACATTATGATAAGCTGCATCTGAACGGAACAGAAATGTTGAAATGTTTTTATCCTCTTAAGGCCACACGCACAGAACAAGGTACTGCGTATAAATGCATTACGTGCAGGCCGTTTACACGACAATGTTTTCAGCCAAAAACTGGAAACTTTTTATGCGTTTTGCCTGTTCGTTTACACGACAACGGCGTTTTGGGGACTAAAAATGCATATTTTTGAAAACGTGTTTCAAAGTGCACGTTTTTAAAAACGCCACCGTTATAATTTCCATGTAAACACCCAATACGGGAATCTTTGAAAACAGTGACGTCATGCGAGTGCGTAGTACGTGTTAGGTATGTAGACATGCGCAGTACGTGTCGTTGAAAACGTTGTCGTGTATACGTTAAACTTTTTAAAAACGTACAACTTTTTTGACTACATCGTTGTCGTGTAAACGTAGCCTAAAACACACTCTGTTTTGTGTCACATTCAGATGGAAACAGGTGGCAAGGATCAAAGAAAGACAGGAGAGAAGAAAGAGAAAGAAAGGAAGAAAAATCGTCCCAGAGAGACCAAAGGATGACAAAAGAAAGAGGAAGTGTAAAGGCTGAGGAGGTGAGATGCTTTCTCTGCTGTTCTTGTTAAAACTCTTCACCTGCGCCTGCTGTCCAGGCTTGTTAGCGATCTCACCGCTGAACCCGGAGCAGAAGATCAAACCCTGCCACCCATGAAGACCTCTGAGAAAGCCACAGACACAATCGCAGCGCTCAGGTGACAAGTTCTCAAACTTTCCTGGCTTCTTTTTATTCAAAACAGAAAGACTTGACTGAATCTGACAGCAAAATTCGACACCCAGAATTAGCAGAAAGAGCGAAGTGGGTATATCTCAGTACCTCTACATACTAAACGCATGGTTTCCTCATGTTTTACATCATTTACTCCCCCTCATGTCATTCCAAACCTGTATGACGTTGTTTTGTCTGTACATCTGAACATATTTTGTGAAAAACTTTGGTAACCAAACAGTCCCATTGACTTCCATAGTATTTTTTGCCCAAAACTATGAAAGTCAATGGGACCCGAAACAGTATCCCTTTAGAGTTTCAGAAGAGATCTCAACTGTCTTTTAAAGATATATTAAGTGGTGTATTTTTCTCAGTAGAAACACCTAAGAAGGAACTTCAGCAAGTTTCCATTAGCTATCAATATAATCTCATTGATTCTAGAAGAAACAACTGAGAAATATTTCATTTGTGGTTTTTCTTTCAGCTATGATTTGAGAACGCACTAATCCTGATACTTTGGGGCATAATCATCTCACATACATTTCATTCAAACACCATTACTGAATCTCTGATTCTGGCAAGATCATTTACATTAGGGTTGGGTATCGTTTGGGGTTTTTTCGATACCGGTGCCAAATCGATACTTTTAAAACCGTTCCGGTGCCTAAACGATGCCTGAACCGATACTTATTAAAAAAATTAATAAAAATAAATCCCCCCAAAAAATGATGGATTGGCCATTAGAATAGAAATACAATAGAGAGTGCAAATGTAAAGAGGGTCAAGTTTTTTAATTAAAAAAAAATTAGAAATTTAGATAAAATTAGAAGTAGCATTAGAATAGAGAGTGCTAGAGTTAGAGGGTCAAATGAAGATGTTTTTTTTTCACGTGCGGTGCCGGTGATGATGTTTCTTACGCTTGTTTCGGAGAACCAGAGGACAAATATTTCAATCGATCGCTCAGGCATGGCACCGAAATGAGGCACCGAAATCTGCGTTCGGATTCGGTTCTAGTACATACCGGTTACATAGGTACCGGTGCTATATTGGTACCGGGTTTCGGTACCTAACCCTAATTTACATATGCCATATAAGAAGCTCTTACTGTATATTATAATTATATAACCTATATCAAACATGAGATGCATTTCTGTTTTATACTTCCATTATGTATCAGTAAGTGTCCTTGCGGTGTGATTGTCAATCCACACATTGGAATTTAAGAGCGCAGTATGTTCTGCTGCTGATGGCTGTTTGTGGAGTTGCTTTCATTAGATGGCTGTTATTTACAGAGGCTTTTGTTTGGCTGTTCTTTAATGGTGTAATCTGATGATATTAAGGTTTGTAAATGACAGCGTGGGCCTTAATCTGGACATTAAACACAACACCGAGCTGCGTGAGGATTTACGGGAAGCTCTAAAGCTCTTAAACACACCCCAACACACACACACACACACACACACATATTAGAACACACACACTGGCCTCTTCTCACTATGCACAAATATAGAAATGCTGAAATCGACATGCCATGTGTGTTTGCCATGGAGAACACCTGATGAAAAGACAATAAATATATAAACTGTCAATTTAACAAAGGTTTGACACGAGATGGAAAAAAGGCTTATTTCAGAACTGTTTTCAACTTCAACAATCTATAAAGTGAACAATGTGTGTTACATTTTTGCATGAGTGAGTGTGAATCATGTTCACACATGGAAAAACCATCAAATTCTCTAAATGCAATTCTACAGCATTTTATTAATTTTTTTCTTTTTTGTGCATTTATCATCCACAAGGCAAAACTAGTCTCTTAGAAAGGTAGCAGCACAGCTCTCCTCATCAACACATGATTTGAGGTGCGGGATACAAATTTGAATAATTACAAATTAAAAGCCCTAATTATAAGCAATAGTAAAAATTATGCTGGACTTGGCAAGTTTTATTAGTTTTCAAAATGATCTACCCAGCTTCTTGAAAATATTACTGTCTCACGACAAAAAATGGGGGAAGATAATAACCGTTATCTGATATAAATGCACAAAATGTGTGCGGCTTTAGGAAAATGCGTGTAGGTTTATGATAAAGGCACAGGCAAAATGGGCTAATAGCTCACAGGCAAAATTTTGACATCCAACCATGACATTCATTATGAATTAATTTTAATTGTAGATTACATCTGGTAATGAGGGCAATTCATCGTTTGGCTGATAGTGTACTGACGCTGAGGCTAAATCACATATCACATTCACTTAATTTTTCTCAAACGCTTTAAAAAAGATCTCAGACATCTCAGTCACTTATTACACTCGGTTTACTTTTTATGGAAATATCCATCTCGCTAATAAAGCTCAGTTTGTTTGAAAAGCACAATAAAGCGTCTGAGAAGAAAGCTGCATTCTCTGTTTGAGATGAAACAGTCGGCACATGGAGGACTTTTCACTTTGGGTCTCACTAAACAGCCTTTACAATGAGACTGACCTCACAGGCAGCTGTCAGAGACAGGCACAATGACTGCAGAGACTGCACACACACTGGGCGAGAACGACATGAACAGGCTAAAAAGGTTTTGCTAACATTTTCATTTGAAGGAATAATGAACCTAAAAATGAAAATTCTGTCATTATTTTCTCACCCGCATGTCATTCTGAACCCATATGCTGTTATTTTATCCACAGAAAAAGAAAGGATTTCTGAAGAAACCTTACACGGGTCTACAAAGACAGTTCATAACACAATTGAAAAAGTGTTTAAAAAAGTAAACTTTATGACTGTACATTTTTTGTACTGTTCTGAAGTCATTCAATAGATTTGTGTGACAAATAAATCAACATTTAGCTTGTTTTTCACTGAAAATTGTCCCCTCTTTTACAGCTCTCAAAGCTGG